TGTTTGGACAATATCGTCATAACGTTAATATTGAACATCCCTAATTAAACCTGTAAAGGTGTGTGAATGGTTTTCCCTCCACCTGCAGGTGGAGTTCAATAATGGTTCTAGGAACCAATGAGGGTGAATGTGATAAGTACAGTGTGTGTGATCGAAGCTGTCAGACTCCAGATGTGTCACCTGACTCCGTCGACACAGCGTCTCACCTTAAAATGAAGCACTAATCCAACTGAGCTAAAATAAGGCGGAGTTGTGCGGAGCATGCTAATCTTTCCTGTTTCCTTTCTCCTAAACACCTGCTCCCTGAGAAAAAAAAAATCAGAGAATAGATTCCACTTTTTTTTTTTTAATCTTTCAAATAACCCTCGCCAGAGAGATTCAGAACTCCAGCTCTGACGCCTTAATCACAAACTCTTAAATCAAACTTCTGAGAAGAGGAACACACAGTATGATTGTCCTTCCATCCCGGGGGGAGATGCAGAAAAAAAAATATCATCATGCCTTCTGTTTCTATTCTAACTCTATGTGCAGAGGGATGAGCTAAGAGACACCCATGCATAAGTAACACTTGCAGTAGCAGCAGCAGCAGCAGAGTCTCTAAAAACACCAGTGATTCACTCAGTCCTCAATGAGCTCACACACAGAAGAGTCTGTATCCTTGGCAATGAAAACCCCACACGTCCAACAGTGGGGAGACAGCGCACCCTGGTGACTCTCAGGCACCCTACAACCCCCTGATTCTTTACTGAGGGACTGGGTGTGTATGGACAATGAGTGGAGGGGCGGGGTCCTGAGAACGTCTCTGTGTATGTGTGTGTGTGACTGCGGAGGGTGGGGGGACCAGCTCGACCCCGGCTCCAGTCTCCAAATAGTTCACTGGGTCTTCAGGGGTCATCATTCAGATGGTCAGTCTCTCCCTGGATTGGAGACCAGTGACAGGTGAGACGTCAGGGGTCGTGTTGTTGCAGGGCCTGCTGTAGTTTCCGTCGGTACGCGGCGTATTTCTGCTCCACTGACCGCACGCGCTCCGTCTCCTCTTTCTCCAGGATTACCAGGAAGTTTTGTAGCTCAGGAACAGAGAAGGCGTGCCACTGTGAGAGGAAGAAGAAAAATGAGCAAAAAAAAACACAGAAAAAGTCACTGTTGTCTAGGTAAGAGTCAAATAAAATCCCTGGACAAGTCTGCTTCCTTAACCACTAAGCCACCGCTGCCTTATAGAATATTTTCATATATTTTACAAAAGTACAAATGTGAAATCAATAAGAAATAAAACACAAACTAAGTCTGCATGTTTTTGGGCTGAGGGAGGAAACAGCTGGAAAAACCACACACAGGTTTACGGTATACATAGATAAAACAAATATTCATAGTTCAAAGTGTTTAACCGTAAAGTACTTCCTCACCTCCACCTCTCCAGTCTCATTCTCCTTCAGGACAAAACTCAGTTGCTGTGGGTCAGGACCTGCAATCAGCCTCAGATGAAGAGGATGCTCGCTCAAAGGAAGCTTCTGGAAGAGATCTGCACGCAGAGAAAAGACAAATGAACATTTTTGTTGTTCTTTCCGCATTTAAACTGTGGATTCGGTTTTCCTTCCTCACCCTGTCCGTCACGGTGAGTCCGCCGGTACAGAGCAAACTTTTGAGGATTGTCTAAGACCATGAACTTCTTCAGCAGACCCTGGATGACCTCCCTGGTGGTGGTCAGAGAGCTGATGTGGAGCTGCTTCACACAGTCACTCGGCAGGTAGAAGGAAGTTCTCTTTTCACTCGACACGCCGTCTGTGCCTTCCTGCTCCTCTGACTGGGGCTGATTTTGGACTTCGGTCGGCTTGGACGCTTCCTCTGCACCCAGCGCCTCCACACTGGAGACGGTGACGGGTCGACTGAGCCTCAGCTGGACCTTAATGAAACCTGTGAAGGAGCCGTCCGAGGCCTGGGACAGAGACAGAGAGCGGAGTCACATTCTATTAAAGGATTGTGGGAGTTAGGATTTATTCTTGAATAAAAAATATCTCTTGGAAATGACGGCTAATCCCTGTAAAAACACCTGGTAGCCGGGCTCTGTTGCTATTTCTTTAGTACTTTTTAACCAAACCCCAAACACTCATCAGTCTTCAGACCTCAACCTAAATTAAAGGGAAACATTTTCACACCAAGGCTGTTTATTACAACACAGCAGCTGAGCTGACGCACTTCTGACGACAGTAGTGCAGTAATGAGAATGGCTTAAATTTAGTTTTTCACAATAAGTTTTCTACAAGGTCATTTTTGTTGCTGCAACATAACAATTTCCCAAGTGTGTGATTAGTAATCTAATCTAATCTAATCTAAT